AAATTAAAACACGAGGGTAGCCTAATACCCAGAAATGATGGCTATTTTTTAAGACAATCTTCTCATCAGTGGCTCTCTGTCTGAGGAGGTCTTAATTTTGCACTTAACCATTCACATCAGATAACCACTGATGAACGTGCATGAAAGCTGGCACATGTTGAGCTAATTAGAGACAATCAGCAAGTGAACTGGAAACCATGAGCCAGTCGTGTTGCTGTATCGATACATACTGTAGAAGCTCTATACTGTAAAATAGAACTTCTTAAAAGTATCATGAAAGACGAAGGCTATGTTTTTATGGTTTGCTTGGCTTACTGCATCCATCTTGGATTAGTTGTAAAATCATACCAAAGTACTGAAAGCCACATTTCCATAACTTTTGTGCTTTAAAGCACTTTAAAAAGTCTGATTTGACTAGCGATTCGACTGGTGAAACATCTCTCAGCCAATATGTTATTGTGTAAAACTCACAATACCATCCCTCATTTCTTGATGTGCAGGTGCATCTCTCAGGTCCTGTGTAAAATCTGGGTCTTTGGTGGATTTCTTCCCAGTCATGTCCTGTCCTTTCTTAAGGACATGACTTTCAGATACTGTTAATCTGCTGTAGATAATTTTTTAACCGGTCACATCTTCTTTTGCCCTCCCCTTTACACTTTCCTCAAACTTTTTAAGGACACACTGCACACCACGCTGAGCCATCCCAGGTTTTTGTGTAATAGTTATTTGAGAATCACTTTGTTGTCTCAAAAATGATACTTTAAATTTGTCAAACCACACTATGTTTGCCATGAAATAAGTCTCAAGAAATTAAATAAATGATGTGTTTTGACAGCAGGCTGTTCATCAGTTAGATGCCTCATTTTTTGATTCAATATGTCATGTATGTTTATCATACACAAATCTACACTTACAAGAAAGTCTGGCTTCTTGAAAGCAAAATATAAACAAATGATTGATGGATTGAGACTTGAGACTGGATTGCACCATAATCTGGCATGTCTGCAGATCAACATTAGTTACACCATTGTGACACCAGTGGAAGCTGTGTATACTCTGCATTACACAGAAGCTGCAGCATCTCTGGTGTGAATTGGTCCAACAGAAGGGAATTAATAGTGTCTCTAAAGTTTATATTAATATTTTTAGATAAAAAGTCGCAGAACTGTATAATGTCTCTGTTTGACTATTTTTATTTGTCCTATCAGAAGCCTTAAAGAAAGACTGATATGTATTTCAAGGTTTGCCTGCCTTCAACTTTCCATCAATCATCTGTTGTTTAGTTGCACTGGAGCCCATTCACAGATCATCAGGAAGTAGTTAGTTGCCTTAATATGCTGAGACAGTTCCAGGGCAAAAACAGCCTCAGCCAGCAACAGAGCAGCAGTGGAAGAGACAGCCTAGTCTTTCACTCCACAAAAACGCAAAGGGCTTAATTAGTGTTTTGTCTGGTTTTTTTTTAGGCCAAGTTAATTCTCACCTTTCAGCCCGGATGATGACCTAGAACCTCCCTGTCTGAGCCCCCTGA